AGAAGCTCCTATATCAGAGGATGGAATTTCTCTCATTTTTTTATGAGAGAAATAATAATTATTTTGTTCAAATACTGTGCCCTACTTGCTGCGTTCTCCAAACCGCCTCTCCTCTCCCCGCCACTTTTGTGGCTAAAAAAATGTGGCTAGAAAACCTGATGACATTTAATGTTTGCTTTTTGTTTATCCGTATAGATTTATTACCATCAGATTTCTGTGCTGTCTCCCAAACCTATTAGAGTTGATTAAACATCTTCTGAGTTCCAAAGTTTTCAGCCTAGATTTCAGCATTACAATATTATTGTATTATAACCTATCATCTAGACCTGAATACTTCAGGATCATGTGCAAAACTACGCCATTCATTGTCATGTCATTAAAAAAACATTGTTCTTGTAATTAGCAGGGCTGGAGTGTGAATGCTAGCTTCAATTCTGCAAGGGGAAGCCTCACCACCTTGCCGCAAAGCTGGACTATGGCACATACCAACTTAAGTGAGAGTGAGGGGTGGCTCCTTATCAAAATGAGGTCCCCTCCCGTGCTGTAATGTAATTTAATAGAAAAGTTATTCTTATTCTTAAGAAGCAACATTTTCATTTCCAAATTGAAGAAGACCCTCAGCATATTCTTAAAAATGCTGATAACAGAAAATCTTAGCACTCAGGTTGATGTAATGTTCTGTAAGAAGTGCCCCCAGAAACATTGTGGGCAGTTTTCAGAACAATGCCTTATTATTATCACAGATGATTCTAGGAATGGGAGTCCAGACTGATGAAATTAAATCCATCAGAGTTTTACTAGTTAATCCTAAAATAGAACTGGCAAGACTTCAGAGGGAGGACCTAATGATCCCGTGTTTCCTGCTTGCTTATGATACAACAACAAGAGTGGGAGCAGAGAGCTCTTTGTCCTTATTAAATCAGTGGAAGAGAACTGGGCTGGACAAGACATTTGGATTGAACAGATAACAATGGACACAAAAGAAGTGTGTTTTAAAGCATTTGCACACGATTCTTCCTTAATCTCTTCAGAAATGTGCTTTGATTTCTAATAATACTGGCTGTGGAGTTTTAAAGACCCTCACATCTGAAATACAAACCTTTTAATACATTAGGCTGGGGTTCCCTATGGGGAATTAAGGGACACAGTTTCAGCATGCCTAATTCCCTTAGGCTTCTTTAGGTGCATCTATACTGCATTTTAAAACCTGCAGCTTGTGAGACTCATACTATAGTACCAAAACTGCAGTGCAGACATTGTGGATCAGGCTCTGGTAACCTGGGGAGAGTTAGGGACGAGTTACTCTATGTCTAGACTGCAGAGTTATGTTGGAAAAAGATACGCAAATTGTCAACCACAATATATGTATCTTTTTCCACTTTTTTTTTTTTTTTGGAAGAGGCTTTTCCTAAATTTGGCCCATCTACATGGGACGAAATTTCAGAAAAACCTCTTCTTTCAGAACATTCCTTATTCCTCATACAATGAGGAATTCAGGGATGCCGAAAGAATGCGTCCGCTTTTTCAGAAACTATTCCGAAAAAGCAGATGTGTTCCTTGGATGTAGCGCAGCTTTTCCGGGATACCTGTTCCAAGGAGTTAATCATCCTTAGAGTTAGAATGCTTTTCCTAGTTTCTAACCTAAATTTCACTTGCTGTAGAGTAATCCCATTACTTCTTGGCATGCTGTTAGTGGACGTACAGAGCAACTGATCACTGTTTTCATTAGCTCTCAACAGTTCTCCCATCTGTCTTTGTTTCTCAAGACTTAACATGCCCAGGTTTTTTAATCCTTTCCCATAGGTCTGGTTTTCTAAACCTTTTTATCATTTTGTAAGTCTCCTTGGAATTTTCTCCAATTTTCCCAAATATTTCTGAAAGTATAATGTACAGTGTGGCGGGTTTTAAGGGTGCGAGCCTCGCACCCCCAAAATCCCCCGGGCTGAGCCAGCGGGGTGGGGTGGGGCTCCGCGAACCCACCGCCTTCCAAATGCCCAGTTGCCCCGCCCTCCGGGGTTCACGGGTGAGTCTGGCCCCGGGTGCGATCACCCCTCGCCCCGAGTAGGGCCGAGGGGGCTCAGCGGACCCGGACCTGTAACGTCCCGGGCGGCCCCCGGCCGGGGGCCCGACCGGGGCTCTTGAGCCGTCCCTCTACTCTTTGTCCCCTTGCCTTGTTGCCCCTCTCCGCGGGGAAGGGAAGGGATGTTGCGTTCGACCGTCGCTGCCTTTTTGGGCTTACGCCGAGGTCGGGGTGTGGGGGAGTGGGGGACCCGGGCCCGCCCTCACCACCGGGTCCCAGCCCGAGGCCCTAAGTGAGATGGGTGCTTTAAGGCGCTCCCCTCACGGCAGGCGGGGCAGCCGCCCGAAACTCGCCTGCCCACGGGCGCCAGAACGGCCCCGCCTCGGACTCCTTCCACCCCCGATGCTCCGGCCCCCTGGGCCGGTGCAGAGTCAAGTCACTTACCCCGTCGTAGACGCCGGGTTCGTCCCAGGGCGAGCCTCCAGTTGCCGGGGTCGTCTCCCTTAGTCGCCCGGAAGGCCGGGTGCTTGGGGTGCCGGGAAGCCAGGGTGGCTGCCCACTCGCTTCCCCCTCCCTGGGCGTCCCAGCGCCCCTGTTATGGGCGCAGCCGGGTGACGTCAGGGGCGTCAACCCCACCCCCTCCAGCGGGTCCCCGTGCGGCTCCGGCCGAAGCGGGCCC